CGACGAACTCACAACACAAAGTATAACTAATGATTGGAGCGAGGTGTTGCTACCTGGTCCCAAACTGTTGTTAATCTTCTTGTAAGGCAAATTAGCTCCAGCATTCATTCCTTCCACCTACGTTGCCATTTTCTTCGCCGTCACTCAGACGGATGACTCACCAATGGCGGGGAAAACATGAGCACATCGTTAAGCTGGATAAATGAGATTTAGCTTTGACTTTTTTTCATGTATAGTGCTTCTTACCCCACTTTCATTTAGCTTGAAAACCCATTGGTCGCCTAAGAACAATATTCGCACATCAGACGGTTGGATAAAATAGCCTTCTCTTTGGCTTTCCTGTGGTGCTTTATCCCCCGTACCCAGTTAGTTGAAAAACATGCGTGTCTGCAAGATAGGACCTAATTCCATTTGCCCTCTGATATCGTCTTAACACATGTGTGAAGCACATCGTACGTTCTAATTGATTTAAATAGTTCATAATGAAGACAGTTCTCAACTTGACTGTTTACCGTTGTCTGTGCACGCGCTCTCATTATTTTTAACATTTTGTTACTCATCACACTTTCGATTGTGAAAATTGCTTCTTCACCTCTCTAATAATTGCTGTTTGGCTCGTTTTTTTGCAACACCGCCCTGACTCACCTGAACGATTCAAACCGTTGTATATCCCGAAGACTTGTTGAAACGAAATTTATGGTGAAAAAACCGGCGGAAAAAAAATTATGTTTGATTTTGTACAAGTTTAGCAATTTCCGTTTGAAGTTCCTACGCATCATATGACCAGATCAGTTTTGATAAGACGGGGCTCACCTCGTTGAGAATATACCAATTATGATAACAACAGTGTCAACACAATCACAGCACCAACAGGGACAGCTGAAAACATACATTGAAGCCATCCTAAGAGTATGATGATGACAACTGTCTGAGCGACACAGGAGAGGGCTGCGAGGAATATCGCACTTAATTCATGAAATCACTAACTCAAGATTCGTCTATTTTTCAAAAGTCTTTGAATAGTGTATACACCGTTATTTCTTACGTACAGTGCAAAGCAGATAAAATACGGCGCCTTCTTACAAGGATCAAGTCGTACACGCTCTGTGACTCGGATTGTCTTCCGCCAATATCCATTAATTTTGATGTTCACAACATCCAGTCTTCCATTTTTGAACTTTGTCACTTTGCCGATGTCGTCGAGTAAATTACCGAATCAACGAAAGAAGTCAATCATTATACCCAGACACAATTAGTTCACCGCATGATCTTAACAAATACCGCCCCATTAGTCATACTCCAGGATTAGAAGCGAAAAGTTAAAGAGGTGATACTTAGTTTCTGCTTTTCGAATATCGTTGTCACAATACGGTTTTCTAACCTCACACACTTGCATGACGTGTCAGCTGGGATGCATTAATTACATTACATCAACTATTGCCTTTAAAGCTTCTATTGTAATCATCAGCGTGGATATTTAGAAGGCATTTGGCCATACGCATCATCATCATCCGCTGCTACTGGACTGGGATCGTTCTGCATCTTAGGTCCGGTTACCGTCCTATAACTCAGATCGAACACAAGTTGTTTATTTCGTAAATACATTTCCTATTTCCGACTAGTTACCAGTGGTGCTATAAAAATATTATAGACTCCCACTTACTTCTTTTATACGTGGACGATATATTCGTGGTGTTTGCACATGATCGTGCTCACCTTTTACAGATGGCATCAAAGTCGTCCACACATTTCAAATAAATGCACTTCAGTTTATTTCGAATATGATTCATTAAGATATGGATCAGTTGGAGTTATTGTACTGTAGGCAAGCAGCGTAGTCAGGCATAAATATTCCCCCCCCCCCGTGAATTGTTTTATGTTGAACTCTGACCCCATTCCAGCGGGAACCCTTGTGAATGTCCTTAAGAACATTGATATCAGGTACCTCAGCACTTGGAATTTCGAACATAAAATTCAGCTGGTCATATAGCGAAAAATGATCGAGCATGCATGTAGGCCTAACAAAATGTTACGTTCACTGTCACTTCGTATTTACCTGTAACAGCTTACGCAAGTGGGATAGACTGATACTTCAAATTATCCAAAGGCTATTTAGGAATTATCTACTACAATCACCTCGCTGTGAATTCGGCACATCAAGTTAAATTTGGTATTTTTTCATAAAATGCATCAGGTTATGGCCTAGAGTGGTGCATTACAACTTACATCTTGTTCGAGATGCTAATATTCGGAGTAACGTAATTCCAATTGGTAGGGCCAGAATGAAACTTGTTTGAAGTTTTATCTCAACCGATACTCAACAATCTGGAATTTGCTCCCTAACAGCACTAGACCAATCAGTTCTAGATTTCAATTTAGCGCAGTCATGAAAAATTGCCTAACAATGAGCGATTTTAATGAAATTTTTCGAGCTAAATTTTACGCGTGCCGAAATGTATGAGGACGGCACATATAGTGCACATACAGTGCAAGTGTGCGTATTAATTTAATATTCGACGGCGCAATTTCCCTGAACCACCATTAGCTTCAGATCTCATTCGGTGATGGAGGCTTTCATTATCACAAGTAGGTTGAAAAAGAAATGTCAACCGATCTTTAATTACCGTTCCACCATTACTTTGTCATGTGTATTTCGCCACAAAATGCCGAAAAATTTCGCAAAGATTGTCATCTGACCTGCCTCACCTTTGAATACTGGTTTGCTTAACGGTATATCAAACTAATTGGTTTGTGTGTGAATCATTGCTTACAGGTTCAGCGTCTCCGTATGCTTGCCTTCTTCCCCACTGATCACGTGCACAATATTTCTCTTTTTCCATACAAAGGTGCGACGGTTGCTGTACACATAGGTGCACCGCAGGTTCATGGTATATGAGATAGACACCGAGTTAAGCAGGGCTTTCAAAAGAGCCAGTCTAATTAACACAAGTTTCTATTAAGCTCTTACCCTTGTTTAGATTAACTTCCGGAAAAAGTATCACAAATGCCACCTTCGAGCGCAATGAACGGATTACGAGGATTTGAAACCTCCACAACAATGGGATGTGCTTAAAGAAGAAAATAGTCATAAAATCCTGATGAAATCCAAGCATACTTCAGAACATTCTTGCTTCTGATACTCCTGCACGTAAATATACTTCTTTCACCATATGCGAAAACATGAAACAAGCAGTATTCTGCATGGGTCAGCTTCTCGAGGTCGAGAACAATGACAATTTTCAGTAAACACAGCCATTAACGAAAAAGTAAAGCGATGGAGCACTTTTTTATCAGTTCAGCATGACACACTCAGCTGGTTCTGATGCCGGTGAAACCATGCGAGCCCAGAGGAAAATGAGTGAGGAAATGTGATGAGCACTTTGCTTCTACTGATGAACATGAAATTTCTGCCAGTGACCTGACACCGGTTAGAACATCTATTTTTAGTAGTGTTGTTAGGACGGTAAAATGCTTTGGTACGACCAGTTCCTTGACAGTGAGCTATTCCGAATTTACACCAGTTATTAGCAATGCACGTTGATGCGGTCAACGATAAGGGAAATTGGTCAACCAAGGATCAATCAATGACGCGCAGTGTGCTCAGCTGCTAAGACACGCAGCAACCTAAAAATAAAAGTTAGTTGCCATGATAACAAGACGAACAAGAGAAACTAGAAATTTAAATTGCTGGCTGGAAAGGTAAACAGCAGGACGTAACGTATTAAATGCAACGGAAATATGCCATGTCGGACAATGTACCGGACCACAGATGTGATGTATCCTCTAAGATAATCGATCGTAAAAGTGACTGATAAATGCGTCTTTACGAATAGGTAGTACAATATAATTTTGACATGAGAGCAGTGTATCCTACACAGCAAAACCAACAAACTGTAGCCCAAGGGAGGACTGGAGAAAGTGGGATGTTGAAGTCAAGCTAAAAGATACATATTTATAAACAATAAGATGCCATCGATTAAACATGGCTTAGAGGGAGGACGTACGCGGGCTAAATTGAAAAGTTTACATTTAGAATAATTGATCGTCAAATATTTCGTATGGATTGAATATGAATGAGTACCGTATTTTTCGGACGGATCTAATTTCATATATAAAGCGCACCGGATTATAAAGCGCATAAAGCGAAACGAAATAGTCGGACAGGTTAGACTCAAGTCAACTCATTAACAATAACTGTCAATGTTGTTCACTTGTAACACACAGAAATTGTGTCGAGGTCACTAGGCCTTAGCACAACCATTCGGACATAAGGCGCACCGCCAACTTTTAGAAAATAGAAGGATTTTTACAGCGCCTTATTGTCCGAAAAATATGGTACTGTGAGCAAGCAGAAATTAAGTGAGGCATCGTCTTGGACATGCCAGGGACGCCGAGTAGAAAGGAGATGTTGGTGGTATGTACACCCCAGAAGACTGAGGACGGTTTTCAAAAAACGTTTAGTGGTCCCTCCATGGTGACAATCATGAGGTCTAGTGTGCGAGTCAAGAAACTTCGTTCAGACAAACTGAAGGTCCATTGGCAACTTAGGCCATATGACAGGGAGAAATAGAGTATGGAGACTCAAACGGAAGATCTGAAAAGTTGTATGCCCAGTCGACGAATTCAGTGACGAAAGTGAAAAACAGAGAAGATATGACCTTTTCCAGTAGAACTGAAAGGTACAGAGAAATATTACGGCGAAAGACAAGTGGTAGACGGGATAAGCCTGGTAAATTCTGGAAAAGAATAGGTCATGAATGAACCTAAAATCCACGCAGTCGTATGAGGACGAGAGAAGACAGCTGATGTGTAGATTCAACAGCCATTTCAATGCATATTCTTTATCTGGTAAGAGTGTATACTATAAATAGAGGCTGAAACCCGTTAAACTCAATAATGTGACGGATAGCCGGTTTGCTGATTCGCTAGTAGCACAGTAAATATGCTGCACTGGTAAAATGACCCCGATAATCAATGCATTCAATGAAAGATGGGCGTACCCTACAAGAAACTTGCTCCAGGTGAATCATATATGACTCCTCCGGCGATCCGCAGTCAGTAGATCCAGGCTGGCTGGAGATAACAAGATCGAGGAAAATCTCCGGACTCGATAGTGTACAATGAAAATGCTGCATGGAAAGTAACAACACGAGAAAGTAAGGTGAAAACAAATCAGTTAATCCAAGGTACGTGACCTAAAGAGGTCAATGGCAGACAAAGGTGGCGATAAGTTGTTCAATAATGGTTCCGACACAGTTTTTTATTCGTTCCAGGGGGAAATGGAGGAGGAGAAACACCCTACCGGCTTTCGCCGAGATTTAAACATGTGCACAGCAAGAATAAATCGTCTAATTTAACCCACGTTAGCACATAAATCGTGAAAAACCAACAGGCCATAAGAGCTAGATGAAATGGTAATCACGTAAACGTCACTAGGCTAATGGAAAACGACCACAAATTATCTCTCAAATGTATTGGAAGCAACTAGTAACGGGACAGGAGAATAAAAAGCTGAAAATTTCGGTTCAGTCTGAGGACTATCCTTCGAGAACCGAATTCCGATGGATGTAGGTGATTCGAAACATGCAACAGTATGCAAGTAATAACGACAAACGAAAGCATTCAAAGAAACGTAAAAACCATTGAATGTAAGATATGTCGGTTTTTAGCCGATCTGATGAAATAGCACCTCTGATTCGCAAGCAACCCAATGGACATGACCGTTCCTGAGGTAAACAGGTTAGTGATACACACGAAGACTTCAGCCATTTAGTCAAAAAGTCGTTGTCATAGGCTTTTGACAACTATGGAATTCCAACAAACGTGAATTGGCAGAAAGCACAGGCAGAGTTAACTAGCGGCGCGCATGCGGAAAATAGATATAGTAAACGATGGTTTATTCAAAAAACCATCCAAAACATAAGTGTAATGCTCGCTGTCAAACAACACCAGGGGCAGATCAACGTTGATAACCTGGTGGTCCCCCAGACGCTGAAACATAATTTTACCAACAAAAACAGTTTACCGTATACAGGCAATCCAATACAGCACCACAGAGTTTATTCCCCGGGACTACCAATCGGAGTCAATTGATCCGCCACAAGTGACTAATAATTCGTAAGCATCGCTGATTAACCATGGCCAATTCTCAAGATTCACGCTATGAAGTGGTAATGGTTCTGATTCATATGACAACGTTATCCATTTCGTACTTAAGCAAGATCTTTGATCCAAAAATTTTTCTTTGTGTTGATAGAGATGTAGTAGATCGCTCAATACAGTAAAGATTTTGATCGTTGATTGTCAAGCATGCAAATGAGAATATGTGTACATATGTTCGCAAAATTTGAATGCAAACTTCCATGCGTGTGTATACATAGGTACACCCTGTGGACGAAGGGATTATACGTACTGCTATTGTCTAGTGGACTGGTATCCCACCGCTCCCATGAACGATTTTGATCTTGGAATGAGGTATAGGCTGGCCAGATATGTGAAAAAGTCGCCGAAGTGGTTCGACCAACAACAGAGACAAAACCACCTGGATAAGTGAACCTATCAACTACTTGAGTTGTTCAATGATGACTGGTGGATGAGTAGTGATGGGTCGACAAAAGTATTAAATAATAACTGCCACTTTAAAGATGCGAAGCGCAGGGCGTTCTGTGTCGATTCAACGAGAAGCGGTAGCAAAGAAACTGGGCCATACTCAGGAAAGATACTTCGTATAATATAAGCAGACCAGTCAGTAGCCGGATAGAATTTATGGTTCGGAGGATAGGAAGACGCAGTTATATATGCCTACTTAGGTTACAAAGATGTAGAAGAAATGGGATATAGATGGCTCTGGTGCGCGCCACAATCCCCCATAGATCCTAAATAAAATCTGGGGGACATGAAAGATTAAACGTTGTGCTGCGTCGAGCATTGCCTACAAAGCCTATTGGTCAGATGAGCAAACAGTCAGTCGATAACTGCAATTTTCAGCGCTGCACTAAACCAGAAAAATCTACCACACTTGCTAGAATCGCCATCCCAACTGCGTACTCTGTTCAATACTTGGGAATCCGATACGCTAACAGTCTCAAATTCTCTGAACACATATATCAATTACCGAAAGCGAAACAACTAACAACCAACGTCACTAGGTGACTTTCACTATCCACAACTCGGCTTGAACCACTCAAACCCAGAGTATGACTCACACTACACCATTTCCGGGCCAAGTTGTCTTCTTGGGCAACATAAATAATCTGAGGGGGCATTTAACATGAGTCTACTCAATTAATTTGTTCCGTGCGTAGGAGCTGAAGCGTCCCACCTGCACCCCTATGACTTAGTGCGTCTGAGGTCCAATTGGCTGAAGGCGACGGGCTATACACGCACACCTACACACCTACAAAAGTGACTGGCGTACGTACGGAACAAATTAATTGAGTAGACTCATGTTGAATGCCCCTTCAGATTATTTCTGTTGCCCCAGAGGACAACTTGGCCGGGAAATGGTATAGAGCACTGCATCATCATACAGAGCAACCTATACAAGACAGATTGAATCCTTTCGGAAAACCTCCAGCTCACATTTAGCAAAATGATCATGAGGTGCCCACCAACGCTTACTTATAAGGAAAACGTTATCTCCAACTTGATCCACTCCGTCTTCGATGACTCAAAAGCAACCTCACTCTTCAGTACAGTGTAACAAGTTTGGCAGTCTTCACAACCAGTATGACTGTAGCTCCACAAAATGGCTCAATCTATCCAACCCGTAATGGGGAAATGTCTACTATGCTTACAGAACACCAAGCAAAATATTCGCTTATATTTCTTACAAATGAAGTACGCTCATCTGTGGAATAAATCAGCGTTTAAACTAATGAGCAGAGAGAACATGTCTGCACCTAGATCTCATCTGAAAACCTCGTTCCCCTTGCCAAATGTGGTCAAGCTTTTCGGCTTCAATAATCTACGAGTTCACTCAGGAAATCCGGCCAGAAAAAATTGCGACAAAACTAGCTTTCTAATAATTACTTACTACATATTCCACAAAACATTGCATAACTGATCCACAGTAAACACAAGTTCAAAAATGAAACATTGATGAAACTTCCTGTACAAATGAGCATCCCACAAAGGGGAATGCATCCCGCTCGTCGGGAAACATACCCGTTTATTCATTAAGTGGTCTAAAAAAGCGCCCAAGCCAGGACAAAATCGTCTGTAGAGTACAGTGTAAGATAGAAACACCGAAACTTGCATACATTTTCAAAAGGACCTTCCATGGCATACCAGTCACACCTACGTAGTGCAAGTCGGTACAACCAACTGAGTCGTAGGTGGTGGTAAGATGGGGAAAATCGCTGCCTTAATCAGTGAGGAAGCAAGCCGGGATTTCAGAAATTTGCCTCCCACAAATAACGGTAAGTCGACGCAAATGATCCTTGTAAGTTAGGGGCCTTGGTAACAGAATAAATACTTCGAATTTTACACAGTAAGACTCGAAGTAAACGTAAAACGATGGTTTTCGTGCTTCAACAATCCACTGAGCTGTGTTGGGTGGTGCTTCTTGCACTTCCAGAGCCACTCATAACTTATAGCTTGAAATGAATTACTCACAACTCCTTGACGAACTCCTGCTACTTTGTTGTCATGTTTATGGACCAAAGGCTTTGCTTGAGAACCATAACCGTTCTTCTATTCAGCCCTGAGCAAAATGACAGCATCCTGTCCTAGAATAAAATGAGCTCTTCCTTAAATAATTACTTGATGCTTGGGTTTTCGTAGAGGAGAATCATCGGCACCTTACCGGCTGGAAAGAGTGATAAGCTGAAGTGCAAGGACCCGACTGTTCAGGAACCTACGTCTATTTATTCTGCCTTTTATCCTTTTTCATTCTTATCGTCCCGTGTTTGCCCTCTGGATTCGACTCGGAAGCAATGGCAGAGCGCCACTTTAGGCTTACGGACAAGTCCATGTTTAACCATGTGGATATCTGAGTCCCACCCTCTGTAGTCCTCGTTCCTCACTAGGACCGACATGTCACAGCGTGCGTACTTTATCGTTTATCGTCCAACAGGCAGCACTTGCCCAAACATTAAAGACCCTATCCATCGATGCTTATCGGAAGCTTGTCTACAATAGAGCCCTGTGCACACCCTGAAATCGCCTTAAGATGACATGGACGGTGATTTCTCACCTTATCTAGCTGTGGATAGTGAAGCTTAAAATGCCAGTTAGGTCAGTTTCGTCTATGGACTGAAACCCTGGATCGCAGTAGTCAAGTCAAGTCGAAAATGTGCTCTACGCAACCTTGAAGGGTGATTATTCAGCTTTCACACACACATACACACACCACGGAATGGAATAAACAATTAAAAGGAATAGTAATTGTGGATAAATAAAAAACCATGATCATTAAAAAACGATTTGGCAAAGCAAATATCGCTATAATTTACTAATAAGTTTTTGAATGACTGAATCTGTATCGTTCAAAAAACGTGGAAGGAAAGAAACTACAGATGTACCTTAGGCCCTTGTGCGGGCGCATACAATGTTTAAATCTGTCTGGTCGATTAGGTTGATAGGCATTCGGACAAACTTCTGTGGAGGGGGTGGTAACATCTGTAAGTATTTTAGATGCAAACCTGTTACAGAAATTGACATAGCTGGCTACACTGCTGTTGACAATTTCCACACTTGAAATTCCACTACAGCGGAATAGATACTTCATTGATCTGGCAATTACTTTAAGGTTCTTACTCAGGAGATCAGGAAAAATAACTGGAGACTAACAGGTCCAGTAGGGTAACACACATGCAGTGATAAAACGCTGGATCAAAAATCAGTGTTCAGAAGGATACCTGAGACGTGTAACATAGAATGAGAGTCCTCTAATTTTACCGGATGTTTCGTACACTGGAAGGGACCACGTAACCTCGCAGCTCTGCGTCACTCCCAGATATTTTCTGAAGTGGAAGAGCTTAATCATTCATCATCAATGCAAAGTGGTGGACACAGCATCAGGATTTGCTGTTCGCGTAAAAAGGACGTCGTTGCATTGTGAGACGTTTAACGATAGGCAACGGGTCTTGGAACAGGCTGTGAGGTTGCCCAAGTGGGTTTGTAGCTT